CAATGCAATAGCAGTTCTCCTGCTTCCTCCCTGTGCTTCCTATTTGCACTCGGCTCACCTTCCCATCCCTTCTCAACTCTGGCCTTAGGTACAAGCTGACCTTTAGGTTTTGAATGATTGCCTATTCCGTGGTGATACTAGTGCTGTTTCCCACTCTATATACCTATCTACGTGTTGTTATTGTTGTTTTTAAGTGCTGTTGAGTTGGTTCCAACTCCTGGTGACACTGTATGGGGTTTCTGAAGAACAGCTGTGAGTTCGAACTGCCGACCTTGTGGTTCTTAGACCAGTGCTGATACTATAGCTCCAGGAGTTCAACACTAACTCTACTCCTAATTACAGCTTACCAGCTGCTCCTCGGAACCAACTCATAACAACAACAACAACAACAAAAGAAGTCCTAGGCCTACCCTAGACCTGGTCCTAACCCTAACTTCTTAGTCCTGTTCCCTTCTGCCCAAATAAAAATTAAAAAATCAGAACAAATTGGTACTTTTTTACAAATGTATACACCCACAACTAAGCACTACCCTAGGGAAGATCCTGGAGTATGGTCCTGTGGGATAACGCACTGGACTGCAAGGTTGTTTGAACTGCAGGGTCGGCGGTTCAAACTCACCAGCCGTTCCTTGGAAACCCTTTTACAGAGTCACTGTGAGTTGGAACCAACTCGGTGACGATACGGAATGTTTTTACTATCCAAAGAGTTTTCAGGATCCTTTTCACATTCAATCCACTGTTTTTCCATTTGTTCTGAGACCTGTCCCCATATATATTTTGTTCATTATGAATTTCATATAACTGGTATCACACTGAAGGCACTCTTGGGTCTGGCTTCCTTCCATATGTTTTGAGCTGTTGCTATAGTAACACCTTTTGTTGTTGTTGTTAAGTGTTATCAGTAAGTTCTGACTCATACTGACCCTGTAGGGTTTCCAAGGAGTGACTGGTGGGTTTGATTCGCTGACCTTTTGGTTAACAGTTCTGTGCTTATCCTATAGTGCCATATCAGGTACTTTGAAATATCAATAAACTCATTGATAAGCCAAATTATGCAAAGTAGATTAATACCAGTTTCTGTGGGGTCATTCAGACTCAAGACCCTATGTGTGTCAGAATACAACTATGATCCATGTTTTTCAGTGGATGATCTTCCAGTTGTAGAACGCCAGACTTTTCTTCCGAGGTGACTCTGGGTGGACTCGACATCAGTCAACATTTTAGTCTAAAACTCAAATCAAACTCATTGCCTTTTCGGACTCATAGCACCTCTATAGGCCATGCTAGAACTTCCTCCTACAGTTTCCCAGAGTATAATCTTTACCTGGGAGTCCTGGTGTGGCACTGTGAGTTAATGAGATTTGAACCGCAAGGTTGGGGGTTCAAACTCACTAGTTGCTACTTGTAAACCTTATACAGGGTGGATGACTCAGAGCATTTAACAGCAATCTTTACCGGAGATGACAGTCACATCTTTTCAATTAGATGTTGTTTAGTGCCTTCGAGTCAGTTTTAACTCATAGCGACTTTGTATAGGGTTTCCAAGGAACAGCTGGTGGGTTTGAATCCTGAACTCGTGGTTAGCAGCCCAGGATTAAACCATTTGTGCTCCTGTAAGCCATCAGCTGCAATCAGTTGGGCAGAGTTTCACTAATTAAAATAGAGTAGAGGGCCTGTGAGGAGGCCTGGTGGTGCTGTGGGAGAAGTTTGGGCTGCTAACCACAAGGCCAGGGGTTCAAACCCACCAGACCCTCCATGGAGAAAGACGAGGCTGTGTCCCTCCATGGGAGAAAGATTTAGTGTCAGAAGTGCTGCTCCATCGAGGTCGTTATGAGTCCGCATTGACTTGATTGCTGTTGTTAAGTGCCATAGAGTCGTTTCCGACTCATAGCAACCATCTGTATAGAGTTATTTGGTAATTATTATAGAGGATCTTTAGGGTATGGAGGGGAGCGCGGTGGCTCCATACGATAAGT